TAGAACCAAAACCTCTCAATAACAAGTTACATTTGCTTTTTGTCAAGCATATCATCCATTTAATAATCCTCAAGGAAACATTTAATGATCAACAATGTTTAAGTTATCCGCGTTGACCAAAATTGATGAAGATCCATTAGAGGATTGGTAGAACCAAAGTCTCTTAACAATGAATCTCAAGGTTATTGGATCAAAGGGTTCAAATTAACATACTTGGGCTTGAAAACATAGGTTTGGGCTACGAATAATCATTTACTCGAATCAGGATAAAATTTAGCGTTATGTTAAGCAATCATAAGTGGACTTATATAGAAGTCGCACCTATTTTGAGGCCGGTCAATAGCAATTTATGTACTTCAGTTTTGGATAAATGATATAGAGATCATCATCCCATAACATGTAGCAAAAATAAAAAAGAAAGGGATGAGATGAAGAGGGAGGGGAATGATAAGCTAATTAGGATCACTATCTTAAATTTCTTTCATCTTTAAATTCAATCACTCATCTAGATGGATTAAAGTACTAAACATATCATTAATCCAAAGCACCAAAAATGAATTGAATACTTCACTCTTTGGTAGATTTGTATTAATGAACATTTATGTAACTTCATCTACACCCAAAGTCCATTGAATTTAAAGAAAAATTGGATATTTAAAATTGCAATCCAAATCAACAATCAAAAAGAGTGAGTAGAAAAAGATAGATGGATCAAAATAGCCCCAAAACAAGGAAGAAAAAGCATTTTGACACTGTTACAATCAATTGCGCTCTGACAGCAATAGATTGCATCAGTGCTGTTTTTCAAAAAACGTGAAATTTTGCTTTGACAATCAATTGCACTATTACAACAATCGATTGCACTGTGAAAATCAGAAAAACAACATTTTAAAAGGTCAAATTCTTGTTCAAACTTTCCATCAAACACCTTATGATCATGGATTCAATTGAGCATGAAAATTCCATCAAATTATGAGAAAATAGCACCAATGGAATCACAAAACAATGCTTCATGAATCAAAACCAAAGATCAACAAGAGATCACATTGTGAAAGATGTAAAATCCAACTTACCAAAGGTAGATCTAGAGAATTATCAAAACAACTTCAAGAATTTGCTTCAATTCAACCCCAAGAATCAATTGCCTAAACTTTGATGTAGAGAATTAATAAAGAAAAAGTGTTTGGATGGAGGTTTAACTAAAATATTAGTAAGCTTCAATGCAAAGCTTACTAACTTTTTTTGAAAATGGAGCTTTGAATGAATTTGGTAGATGGAGAGAATTGAGAGATTTTTTAGCAAAATGAGTTTGGCTATCAAAAGCTTGAAATTTGAATGAAATGAGGGCTCTATTTATAGAGTTTTAGGCTTGGGATTAGTGGTGGTTTGGTAATTAATTCTTGGAGACAAAATTTGAAATAATGATATATCTTTCAAAAAATGAAAAATTGGATCCAAAATTTCAATTAATAATATACCTTTCAAAAAAAGAAAAATTGGAGCCAAAATTTGAATTAATGATATATCTATCAAGCAATGAAGAAAAATTAGAGCCAAAATTGACAAGCTTGAAATTGCTGATTTTTTCTTCTAAATTTCACTCTGTGCAATTGATTGCACTCTGGGAGCAATCGATTGTACAGTGAATTTTTTTTAAAATATTGCGAAAAATGCACTTTGTGCAATCGATTGCACTCTAAAGGCAATCGATTGTACAGCGGAAAAAATGATTTTTTTTAAAATTATTTTTCTTTGCAAATAGAGATTTTAGGAAAATAATACCGGAAAATCCTATTTGTCAGATGCTTTGACTCGGTACCCACAAAACACAAATATACAAAGATAAAGACAAATATTTTTTTTGTATTTTGATTAGAAGTTAGTCAACAACACAAGAGCAAACTTAAGAATATGATGCAAATGTGATGAATGAAGCTATTTATTAATGACTGTGACCAAATGATAAAATATGATAAGAAAGTGCGACTGAAAAAGTTAGGGGGAAAATTTAGGGTACAACACATGGTATTTTATTATTTGTCATTAGTTTATTATTTGATATTATATAAAAAAGTAGTAGTAAAGTATATAGACACTGAGATTGTTGCATACTGAGATTGTTGCATACTATATTATATTTTTAAGAATAAATTCTATTTCAAATGTTATTTTTATTGTTATAATTTCAGGAAAAAAACAAAAAATATTTTATTGTGTTTCGATTTTCACATCTCTTTTATTTTTGAAATATGAGATGATATTTTTAATTTTTAAGGGAATATAATTGGAGTAATGGTTTGGTAGACCAATTTGTTCAAAATGAGATGTTATTCTGTCTATGCAAGGGTTCGAATCCGTAACTTTCAATTGGTTGTATTTGACATTTTAAAAAGTGAAAATGAATTTTAAGATGTGGCACATAGAATTATAGGATGATATAGTAAATTTTAGAGTTATAATTGATGATTTGTTGCTCCAATATTCGATGCATTGAATTTAATATATTATATAGATATTTATAATAACAACTTACATATTTCTTCTTCTTTTTATTCAATGTGAGACTTGGATGAACACTCCCTTTCACCCAACATTATTTTTATATTGATGTTCCACATTTTTATTATTGTAATACAAGTTTAAGTTAGATGTCTCATACTGTTTAGAAAATGGATGTTGATAATTTTATAACTGAGATGATTCGTACCTAATACTTTAAGATTTTAGTAGAAGATGTGGTGTGTCTCTTAGTTGTGTGGTTGCTCTTAATTTAATGAGAATGTCTCTCTCATGACTCATCAGTTATATTAGAGGAGATAGTTCAACTAAGGGACCGATTTTTTGTATCATAAATCTTTCTGATAAGGTGGTGGTTAGACGGTGTGTCAAGTTGAAGTATTTGTGACATGATAAGGATATCAACAGTGGTACAAGTGTTCGTGGATAAAACAATTTCTATTTGAGAAGAGCATATAAGTAGATTGACTCACATTTAAAGGAGAGATTGATGTAATAGTGAGAGTTAGATGTATTACATTGTTTAAAAAATAGAGGTTAAATATTTATAAATGAGAAGACTCCTATACACAAAAGTTTTTGATCTAATATAAATGTCTCCATTTTGACCCATCAAGAGTCACTCACTTGAATCAATTTAGAATATGGGAAAGTAAGAATTTTCAGAGAGGGAAAGAGAGAGACTATATTGAAAATAATTGTTGAATATATAAAGTGTGCAATTGTTATTTCATTGAATTATTAACAAATATATTTACACACACTAATCACAACTAATGTGTTTCAAATCAGTTAACCACCTAACAAATTGATTCAAACACTTAAATATTTTTTGTGTTAAAGACAATTTTTGGATCTAAGTGATTGAACCTAAATATAAATGAGGTAGGGACACTATCCCCATATTCAAGTAAAGCATCTTGAGTCTAATATTTGACAAAGCTTCTGCAAAACTTGCAATGATATTTGGAATGACTTGTGAGAATCTTGACTAGACTTTGGATTATCTTCTGCACTTTATGTACACATCTTTGGAAAGTAAAAGCATATTTTATATCCCATTGATATATATCAGCGTCTCACATTGTTAGTGTCCGACTGTGTCATTGTCGTGATCTATATCCATATGTTTTTTTTTTGTCTGTAGACGAAGTGGTAATAATCACTAAAAATTCACATATAACTGTCAAACTTAGGGTTCAAATCTTAGTGTTGGCGTCTAATAATAATATCAGTCGAGATACGATTTGCATGACTTTAAGATTGAGGTGGATCAATTGTAAAAAATTTGTTTACATATGTGTTATCCCTCAAGTTATTTCTCTAATAGAATATAATTGATTGAAGAATGTTTGAAGTAAAAAAAAGATGGAACTGCAGATATTTTTTATTCAGTGATGATGCTCGTGGGAGGAAATGTCATGGTCCCCATGAAGAACACAAATGTGCCATAACTTGAACGTGACATGACCCTTATGTATATATAAAGTTAATAAAATAGTGGAACACCATTTCTGTGTCTCTACTCTCTCCACGTTCTTTACTTGTTTTGTTTCCCTTCTTTTGCTTTCCAACTTTTGTTTTTCTACCCAAACAAATAAAAAATTCTTATCTTCATTGTACCATCACATATTTACCATCATTTATTACTCTTTTCTTTCATACAAAAACAAACTAACCTATACTCTACTACTTGTACCCTTATTAACATTTGCACCAATTTTTTTTTATAGGTAAAGTGATATAATAACAATTAAGAATTTACATTTATAACTCATGCTAGTATTCAACCTAGCTATGCAATGTTGATATTACGAAAAGTTTTACAATTCATACACAATTATAGAAGTGTTTAGCACTCATATAGGGTATGGAATCAAAAGTAGCTTAGATGGTTTGAATGATAATATCCAACTTGGGATTGATGAATTCTTTTTAGTGGGGTCTTTTTTTGGCATCAACATATTGCATTTGCTAGAATAATCTTTCGAATTGAGGAGAAACACAATAGACAATAGACAGTAAAACTCTCTCTTAAAAGAATTTGGATTCGAGCTGAGAACGATTAGTTAAGTTTAGTGAATTGCTGTTGATTGAAAATATTTCTTGTATCTGGATTTTACAGATGTTTTGTATTCGGGCAAGAGTATCTCTAATATTATTACGTTAATATATTGCTTGCTTAAAAAAATATATGTTATAAATTTTTCAATAAGAATTTTCTTATATTATTGTCTAAACAAAGCATAAACTAATAATTAATGCATGGAATATAGCTATAAAAGTATGAAATAAATGTGTAGTAATGCTTTCTTTGGAAATACTTGAGTGAAGACATTTTGATGAAAAACATGTCTATGCATCCAAAGAAAAGATAGATATAAATCATGATGAGTTGCAAATTTATTAACATCCATTAAAAGAGTACAAAATTCACATAGAAAATAGCTACTAAATAAGAAGAACAAATTATGAAACTTGATTCATATACTCCTACATCTCTTGCTAGTAACCTTAGTAAGCTGAAACGTGGATTGAAAGAAACACTCTACCTCTTCATCCTTTACTACATACTTCAATTCAGTTGCTGCTGATCTTTTCATGACAGTTCGAGAATGCGACGAAAATGTTGACACTTTCCTTTTTTTTCTTGGAGCTTGTGGACAGTTTTGAAGAAGAGGAATCTTGTTTCTTGAACAAGTTGGTGTTTTGCATTCTTCAAAATCCTCCATAATAATAACTACCTCTTGTGCTTGAATTTGCTTTGTAATTTTTGCATCTTCTTCTTGTTTGAGAATGCTTGAATATTGTTCCATTTTATGAGGAACTTGTTGCTCTACTTAGGTTTTTGTAGAAGTGAAGTTCAACTAGGAATACATACATATATTATATGACTAAGAAAACAAAATATATATATATTTGTTTGGTACATAAATTTAATAATGTAACAAACTTATTTTTATTTATTTAGAAATTGAGTATAAAAGCATTCAAACAAAATGAGAGGTAGATGTTTGAAAAAGTACATGGAAAAATTTGGCAGCTTTTGATATAAGCATCCTTTTGCCTTTCTTGTTAAGAGACTTTTTGTAGAGCTTTTTGCTTGAATATTGAAACTTGAAAGTTTGTCAGTGATGTGGTGTTATAGTTGCCCAACGACAGTTCCATGTCATGAGAAGAACAAACAAACCTAAGTTGGCAAGAAAGCCACTCTTCCAATTCTATTTTCATTCACTTTCCTTTGGATTTTTTTGAGTAGCTGTTGGTCTTATTTGCTTCAATTTCTAACTTTTTCAATTCTCTTTTTTTATTTAACTAATTCATTTTCATATGCAAAAAGGAGAGAGAGGGGGGGACACTTACTAGTTACTATAATAATACAATTGATACATGATTGTGTGTACTATATAGAAAGCTATGTTCTTTTTTATTCATCATTATATACTTCTCATTCATTTAAATCATCTATGTCCTTGAATGCAAGGGATATCCCACTTGAACTATGGTACCAACCATTCTTCTCTTGGCCTTTTTCAATGTTATTGTTAGTTTTGGATTTGGTTTAATGTTGTTTACCCTATGTGTGATTTGGGTTTGTTAAAATTTTTTTAATTTAATTATATCAATTTTTAAATAAAATATAAGTATTATTTCAATTATTAATTTAATTAATATTTAAATAATATATATATATATATATATATATATATATATATATATATATATATATATATATATATATATATATATATATATATATATATATATATATATATATATATATATATATATATATATATATATATATATATATATATATATATATATATATATATATATATATATATATATATATATATATATATATATATATATTGACTCTATGGTTATTTATAGTAATCAATCGATATGTGATTATGAAAAATCGCATGTCGTTCTCAGTTTCTCATTGTTCTTATATTTGTGCAAATAGATTCAATGATGACCCGTAAATGTTTAACATATTATTTATATTATGATTTTTTTTACAATTATATCTATGATTTTAGTTATATTATGAATATTCCAACAATTGGAATCACAACCTAATAGATATGTTGTATGAATGTTCGTTGTAATTGATTGATATGTGATTTTGAAAAATTACGTGTAACATGTTACGTTATGCGTGTATTGTTCTGATATGTGATTATCAATACTAAGTTGATAGTTGAATTGTAAATTTTACTTAATTGTTTTGAAATTTGTTTTATTGTGTAATGAAAAAACCCAGAAAATCAAATTGATAGTTTGAGAAACGATTTAAGAAATCTTTTGAGCGATTTTACTGTCAATAACTTTGCGAATAACATAAGAAAAGATTAAAGATTTTCTTCCGATGTTCAATGAGAAGTCGTGTTTCTTTTTCTTTATTTTTCGTTAAGAACTTAAAACTCTCGATTAGCATTTTTCAATCACGGATACTTAAGATTAACTTGTGGGATCATTCTATTTTTGAATAACGATTAAAATAGATGTAAAATTATGGTATTGCTTGACAAAATGAATGAAAATGAACTAGGTCAGTCATTGGTTATAAATGGGTCAGAAGAAGAGATTTTTTAAGCGAGTAAGAAAGAAATTTATTTTGGAAATAATAGAGGGTCATGCACATTTTGCTCGTTACTTTTTTTGGGATTATTTCTCCCACCCTAAGTGGTAGAAAAGGTCCCTATGAAAATATGAAAATGCCCCTCCAAATCTGAAAGTACATATCCAAACGCAACCATTTACACCAAATAAATGTGTAATTGAGCAACACCTTCATTTTTTATATAATTTTGTCCAAAATTATATCTCCAGAATAACCCCATATGCACGTCTCTTTGTAACTAGGCCACACTCTCATTTATCCATAATTTAGTCTAGAGATGCATCTCCGTAGAGAAATACGAATGTGCACTTTCTTAATCACCCTTTAGGTAGTAAATTTTGACATTTTTTAGAAATACATTGATGTAATAAACTATGTATTATAACTATACTATTATAATAAAAAAATTTATCAATTAAACTATACATTGATCTAATACGAAGAAAATGTCATATATAGTAAAAATAACAATCAAAGTACAGTAAAAACAAAAAATTAACAAATGATGATACTCTTCATAATCTCTAATGCAAATAATATTTATTGTGTATGTCGGACCCCCGTGTCCCTTCGGTGCCTCCTATACTGGAATATCATTCGTGCCTTAGTTAGAATGGTATCTATAATGGCCCTCTCATAAGTGCCTTCTAAAATGTCTCCTCTGTCTATAATCACTTGCACAAGATCCATAGTACGACGTCATGCAAGTAACACATCAATGACATGATATGCCCTAGCCTGTGACTCCTATAATATCTCCAGATGAGCTAACCTAGTGGCTCTCCCTCGGCATCCGATGTCATATAAGGATGTGACACTCTAAAATACCACTAAATGCAGTCGAATGCATAACTCCATTAGTAATGGTGTAGCATAAGTAATTGGAACTCTTTCCCATAAATATGGATGTGTAAACCAAGTACAAAAGGTATAAACTCAATGCACATGCTTTATGATACATAACCTTCTAATCATCACCCAAGGCATGCATTATCGCAACAATATGGTGTGTATACTGGCTCTCTAGGAATCCAAATCCAGCATGACACCCTCTAGTGTCTTCCAGCTTCTTCATGACATCCTTCGGATCAACTTATAAGTAGTTTACCATCATGTCCAGTGAATTAGGTCTGATCATCCTAGAGTGGTCCAATAGTCTCCCCTTATCTCAATATGTAAGAGGCATGACACATCATCCAATGTGATGGAAATCTCATCATGCAGAAGATAAAAAAATGACATCTCAGAGAGTCATCTATCAATGAACACCGAAAGCATACTATGGTTAATTGTAGTATAATCATTCATGCATAAATCTCACAGCTCGGATAGCTACATGGCATCATGAAACCACTTCTCCTTAGGCTGCAACATCATTATAATATTCTGACCATGGTTAATGCATTTTAAAGCATCACAGTACTGCCAAAAATGCATCATCATCAGAAGGCTCTAATATTATGACAATTGTGTTTCAAATGATAAACACAGATAAATTTTACGGCTACGTCCCTCACATTCCTGGTAGCATGGTCTACATAAAGAGGCAATATGAATGTGTCATACAAGCCTCCTCCAAATTCCTCAGGTGCATTAACTTGGACGGGTGGGGCTTTCGGGGCCACAACAAGTGACACCCGCCTCCTCAGGGAAGACAAAGCTGGAGATGCCTGAAACCCAGACGTTGACGCATATGTATCAAATGAACTGGCATGGATCAGTGGTCACGAGTGTTAGGGTTTTCCACTATAAACTGATGTATGTCTGGACACTCTTCGGAGCCTCAATCGATATTTATTATCAGCCATGTTACCTAGAACTAAACCAAATAAGAAATACGGAGTAGAAAAATCAAATTCAAATGAGTGACATTGAAAATAAAGCAAACAATGCAAACAAATGAAATATAGAAATGCACTTCCATATTCTTTGAAAATCAAAGTCTAAACAAATACGGAGTTCACTTCCATATTAACCTGCAATTGAGAGAAACAAAAATGGAAAAAATGCAGGATACCAAAAATGCACAAATGCATTGCTTACTTACACTACCTATCAATGACTATAACTACCTATATATTGATGTATATTTTATGACCTTTTTTCTTTCTTCTAAATGCATGTATAAAAAATGTGAAAAAACTTGAATTCCAAAACTTACCAAATGTGTAGTTGATATTGAGCACTCGATTTATTAGATGTTGAGATGAAATTTCGATTGAATTGATTCAATGGAGTAGAGATGAAACATGGATTGATAAAAAAAAATTGAATTGAGAAATGGAAGTGTGGAATGAAACTTGATTTCAAGTGTGTTTTGTTGGAAATGATAAATGGGAGGGTCAGACGCATATTTGATTAAAACCTCATCCTTAGATGCATCTATGTAAGTTATACAGAGATACACTTTCGTATTAATTTTTGTCAAAAATGAGGATCTAGCTCACTTATGAATGAATTGAGTGTGGACTAGGGTGCGTCCAAAAGTATATTTCCAAATTCCAAAGATATTTTTGTTTTTTCACAAGGGTGCATAAGCAACCCTTAGGGCCCATACCTATAAAGAATTTGGCAATAGTTATGGGCCCTGCACACTTTGTTAAGACTTTACTGAGATGTTATTTTTAGGCAATACTCATCCCACCCCACATGGCGCTTCCACTATGAAAAGTCACAATTCCCCTAGAATCCAGAGATGCAACTTCAGACATACCCTTTACACACACGCACGCACACACATACACACACACACACACACACACACACACATGTCATATCAAATTGTTGAGACACACTTATTTTGTTGAAATTTAGTCCAGAGATGCATCTTCATATACACATTAGGGTGAGTCTGAAGATGCATCTCCGTAACAACCCTTAATTCAATATCCAGTGAGTTTTTCGGAGATGCATCTCCTGAATATGCCTTGTTAGGTCAAAGCAGAAACAATGGTAGATTATTGAAAAAAAATACAAATTAACATCAAAATATACATAGGTATTGGTTAACAATAACGTAAATTTAACAATACATTTCATTACAAACAAGTGGTTCAGGGTGTTCCAACATCCTTATAATATTTTTGGTCGATCTTACAATCGTCGCATCCACTTTAATCGAACCATTTGTTTAGTAACGCTAAAATGTACTCCACGTAACCTTTAAATCCTCATCTTTCTTCA